AAATCGGCCGAATCGACTTCGATGTGACCGAGCTAGAGAATTCTCAAGTTTGGTCAGGACCACCCAAACCAGCGGTTGAATTCGACACAGTCCCGGGCCTCGTGCGACTCGCGCTCGAGGTTGTGCACGTGGAGCCGGTTCGCCTCGGCGTCCGTCGCCGCCGTCGCCGCGCGCTCGTCGGCGTCGAAGCGCTTGTCGAGCTCCATCTTCTCCAGGATGGACGCGCAGACCTGGCGCCGGCCCGTGTAGTTGGCCTTGCGCACGCGCGCGGCCTTGTGGTGCGCCTCCTCCAAAGTCTTGAGCTTGCGGTCGCGCGCCTGCTTGCGCGCCAGGCAGTCGCCGCGGTACTTCTCGATGGCCTCCGTGCGCTTGAGCCGCTGGGCCGTCGCGACGGCGTCCTCCTTGGAGTTCTGCGCTTCCAGCGCCTTCTTCTCCGCGGCGGCCTCCTGGCCGACGGTCACGTCCTCGTAGCCGAAGAACACGGGCGACCGCAGCGTCGGGTCCCACTTCTTCGGCAGGCTCCGCGGCGCCTCGGCCGGCGGCACGGCCTCGGGCGCGACGGCGGCCTCGGGCGTGTCCTCGGGGCTCGGCGCGGGGCCCGGCGCGCCGGCCGCGGCCGCGACGAGGGCCAGCAGGCCGTGCTCGCCGCCGTCGTCGCCGGGCGCCGGCGCCGGCGCGCCGGCCTCGAGGGCGCGCGCCGCCGGGCCCAAATCCTCGGGCCCGTCCTCGCCGTCGTCCTCGTCGTCCGTGTGCGCGGGATTCTCAAAGTTCTCCGGCGGCGGCGACGGCACGTCGTCGAGGAACATGCGGTAGCTCTCGAGCTCGCCCTTGGCGGTCGCGTCGACCTTCATGGAGAACCCGAAGGACGCGCAGTGCCACTTGCGCCGCTCGCGCTCGCTGTCCGCGGACCGCCGGAGCGTCTCCGTCTCGTAGGTGATCTTGTAGTAGTCGGCCCAGGACGTCTGGCGCCCGAGGAGGTCGCCGGCGAGGCTCCGCGGCAGCGCGACGACCTCCTCGCCGGGCTGGCGGTCGAAGGCGTGCGGCAGGCCGCCGTAGGCGTCGAGGCTGAAGCGCACGTCCTTTAGACTCCAGCGCTTGAAGAAGGCGAACTTCTCGATGATCTCCTCGAGGCGCTGCTCGCTCGTCCCCTCCTCGACGTTCCGCAGGATGAGCGTGCTCGAGCCCACGCCCATGGCTCGGCGCGCAGCGGCGGCCGCGCCGCGTTTGAGCTGCCCAGCGCTCGACCGGGCTGCTTGAATGTGAAAGGCCTTAAGGTGCAGGGAAACATCCCTGGTTTTGGCGGGCGCATCTTCGAATTCCATCCTCGAACAAAGGGCCACCTCACCAGCAGGCGCTGGGGCAGCCCCCGGACGCGTCGGTGCGCCGCGTGCTCCGCGGCTTTGCGGGCTCGCCGAGGCGTCGCCGGCGGGTGCAGGGGCAGCCCCAAACTCCATGGCCGCCGTGGCAGCCCCGAATCCCATGGCCGCCGTGGCGGCCCCGCGCCCGCACCCCCGCCCCGCGCTCCCGCCGCCGCCGGCGGCCCCGCGGGGGCTCGGGTCGCCGACGATGGCGTCCCTGCGGCGCATGAACATGTACCACAGCGCCCACATCCTGGCCTACCTCGGCGACATCCCGTCGCTGACGTCCGCCGCGCGCGTCTGCAAGGCGTTCCACGAGGCGTCGCGCGTCGAGCGCGTCTGGGCGGCGGCCTTCGCGCCGCTGGGCTACGCGGCGCGGGGCTGCGGCCCGCGCGAGGTCTGTTTGGCGTCGGCGACGTTCCGCACGCAGATCGCATTGGGCGCGTCGCGGACCGCGTCGAGCGCGGGCATCGGCTCGCAGGTCGGGTCCTTCGAGCTCGAGGTCGACGGCGACGGCCCCCTCGGCGCGGCCCTCGGCGTCGACGAGGCGGGCGACGCGCGCATCGTGCGGCGGCGCGTGCGCCGCGGCGGCCGCGCGCGGTGGACGCGGTTCCGCGGCCGCATGCGCATGGACCGCGGCGGCTGCCGCGTCGCGATGAGCGGCCTCGCGGAGAAGGAGTACGGCGACCTGCCGTCGGCCGTCGTGCTCCTCGCGCTCCACGAGGAGGGGCTCAACGGCGAGGGCATGCTCGGCAACAACCCGTCCATGGTCGGCGTCCACTGCGTCACGCCCTGCGAGTACCGGGGCCTCCGGCTCGGGCCCGTGCTCCTCGGGTCCTTCGGCTTCACGCCCCACGCGGTCTGCCAGTGCCGGGCCATGGGCGTCTGGTCCGCGCGCCTCCCCGGCGCGCCCTACTTTGGCGACGACGACGTGTCCTACGCGAACGCGCTCCAATTCGAGGGCGTCGCGCTCGCGGCCGCCGCCGACGCGGTCTCCGAGCTCCGGGGCACGTCCTGGGGCAAGGCGTCGGAGACGAGCGTCTTCGGCGCCAAGGTGTCCCTCCGGGACATCGAGGCGACGGCGCTCCCGAAGGAGCTCGGCTACGTCGCCGCGGCGACGCTCTCGCTGGCGGTGGAAAAATCCGCGGCGACGGCGACGCTCGCCGTCGCGTCCGCGCGCGGCGACGGGCGCCTCGAGTGGTCGACGGCGACGCTGGCGGGCACGTGGCACGACCGCGGCGGCGCCTGGCGCCTGTCGCTCCGCGGGCCCGTGCGCGACGACCGCCCGAACGCGGCGGCGGCCGCCGCGGACGTCGCGTGGGCCGAGTCGCCGGCGACGCCCTTCGGCGCGTCCGCGCGGCGGCTGCGGAAACTCTCCTGCTGGCCCGACGCCCTCGCCGTCGACGGCGTCGCGTCGCTCCAGCTCGACGGCGAGTTCGAGGCGGGGATACTCGTGGCCCAGCTCCTCGTCGACACGGGCCCGCCGGCCTGCGTCAAGACCTGCTGCTGCTGCGCCTTCGAGCTCGCCGCGGATGATGAATAGTGTGGATAGTATCATAATTCGATGTACATTTCACGGGCGGAGTCGCGCGAGGGCCGCGAGGACGCCGGCGAGGTCGTCGGCGCCCGCGCAGATCTGCTCGAGGGTCGCGGGCGTCACGTCGCGCGTCGCGCGCGCGTCCCAGGCCGTCGCGAAGGCCTCGGACTCGCCGGGCGTCATCTCGCGGCCGAAGAGCACGTAGTGCCGGACCATCTCCGCGGCTTCTTCGAGGTGGATGTGGCCGAGGTGGATGTGGAGGTCGCAGCGGCCCGGGCGGATCAGCGCCGGGTCCAACTTCTCCGGATGGTTCGTCGTCATGATCATGAGGCGGCCCGGCGAGTCGACGACGCCGTCCAACACGTTCAGGACGCCCGACAGGTCCAGGCGGTCCGCGTCCAGCTTGGGCGCGAAGAGCGTCGACGTCGCCCCCGTCGCCGCGTCGTCGGCGGCGATGAGCGCGAGGAGCTTGGAGACGGGGTCCGCGTCGGCCGCGATCGCCGGGGGCGGCGGCTTCGCCGCCTCCTCCTCGGCCGCCTCGCCGCGCTTGAGGACGACGGAGGACGCGGCGTCGACGTCCTCGAGGACGAAGATCGTCTGCCGGAAGGTCAGCGACACGGCGCAGTCGACGTGCGCGACGTTGAACTTGAGGTCGAAGACGGCGTCCATGAGCTCCTGGTTCGTTTGGACCTTGGTCAGCGGGATCGAGACCTACCGAGTGCGACGGGGTCGGATTTCTTCACATCTTCAGGCGAAATTCACGCGAAAAAACACTCCTGTCGCTCGACGCTGATCGAGACGACGTTCCGACCCGTGCGGTGCGCGATGGCCTTGATGAGCGACGTCTTGCCCGTCCCCGGGGGACCGTGTAATAGAACACCGAGCTTGTGCGGAAATCCAGCGACGGCGTACTTCCCCCGCTTCGCGTGGAAGGCGTCGAGCAAAGACAGGAGCTTGCTTTTGTCCTTGAAGAAGAGGGACTCGAAGGTCTTCGTGTCGCCGAGCGGGTACCGCTTGTAGGACGCGCCGTCCCCGCCGTCGTCGTCGCCGTCGCCGTCGCCGTCGCCGGCCTTGGCGCCGGCCTCGCTCGGCGGCGCGGAACGGACGTAGAGGTAGCGCCCGCGATCCTTGCTGCTCGCCTCGACGGAGTCGATGTAGTCGTCGAGGGCCCGCTGGAGGAAGGCGTCGATGGGCTCGCTGCCCGTGTCGCAGCTGAACACGAAGTCGAGCGTCGTGACCGTCGAGTCCCCGCGCTTGTCGCCGCCGCCGTCGTCGCCCTTCTTGGACTCGTCGCCGTCGCCGCCGTCGCCGACGACGCGGCGCACGCACAGTCCGGTGGACTCGTCGATGTCGATCCAGACGTCGTCGGGCACGGCGGACACGATCTCGTACTGGTCGAGGAGCGCCGCGGTGGTCCCGAAGGTCTCGCAGTACGACGGCCCGTCAGATTCTTCTTCCGCCTTCGCGACAAGTTTGAGCTTCGCGTCGGCCTCGCCGTCGAGGACGCCCAGGCGGCTCAGATGCAAAGCGATGGCTTTGTGGAGGACGAGGTTCCGCGAGTCCTCGTCGACGCGCGCGTTGCCCCATGCCCGCGCGCGCGTCTCGATCCGCACCGTCCGCTCGTAGGCGGGCTGGGACCGCCGGACGCCCGCGAGGGCCCGGAGCACGAGCAGGCGCAGCTTCTCGTTGCTCGCGGTCACCAGGGTGATGAAGGTCGGCAAGAAGGCCACGATGAAGAGGTCGATGTGGCGATTGTTCGTCTTGAGCGCGTTGAGCAGCCCGAAGGACAGGGTGTCGAAGCCGCCGCCGCCGTCGCCGGCCATGGCACCGGGCTGCGCCGCGAGGCCGCCGAAGGACGCGGGGGCCGAAAGCTTGAGATGGCCCGCTGCCTCGCGGTTGTGCGTTTGCTTTTAGGCAGCGCCATCGCAGCCAGGCGGAAGCTTCGGAGAGGCTGCCGAGCAGAACTACCAAGGCAGCATATTGACGGCTCCTTTCCTTTGTAGCTTACCCAGCTGCGGATCGTTCTCCTCTGGTTCGGGGCAGCCTCTGTGGACAATGGGCAAATCTTCACAAACCACAGTCCATCATTCGAAGCACGCGCGCCCATGGTGGGTGCCCTGGTCAACGCCACGGGCGTTGGGGCCAATACCACTGGCGGCGACGATGGAGCTGGGTCGCCGTCCATCGTGTCGATCCTCGTCGCGCTGCTCCTCCCGCTGCTCCTCAACTCGGTGCTCAAGGAGACCCAGGACCGGATGATCGAACGGTTGAACGACTGGTACAGCTCGGCGCTTAAGCAATTCGACGGTGTCGGTTGCGCGCGGACGCTCGAGTGGGTCGAGACGTTTGACAAGTACGGCTACGCCATGCGCGGGTCCTCCGACGCCGAGGATCGGAACGAGATCCTCATCAAGGCGATCCTCGACTACGTCTCGGCGCGGCCCGTGCCGTCCTTCGACGGGTGCCTGACGCTCCTGCCGCGGCTCGCGGGCGAGGACGACGCCGAGGAGGACGACGCGGGCTTCTCCGCGGCCCGGGCGCTGCGGCGCCTCGAGATCCGCAAGACCCCGACGAGCGGGACGACGACGGTCGTGAGCCGCGACGGCCCGGTCTCCATGCGCCTCGACCGGTCGTCAAAGAGCGGCGGCCAGGACAAGTCCTCCGCGACCTTTGGGCGGAAGACGGTGACGACGACGGTGACGCTCACGGCGCGGTCGCCGCGGGGCGCGGGAGCCGCCGAGGCCGCGATCCGCGACTTCACCGAGAGGCCGCGTTCGCCTTCCGGCGGCGCGGCCTCGCGCTCAAGGAGGCCCGGGAGGGCCGCTTCATGTTCTCGCCCATCGCCAAGTCCGAGAACAGCTGGAAGCGCTACGCGCTCGCGGACGAGAAGACCTTCGACGCGCTGTTCTTTTCGGAGAAGCCGCGAGTCCTCCGCCTCCTCGAGGACTTCGAGGCGAAGCGGGGGAAATTCGCCATCGCGGGCGTGCAGCACAAGCTCGGCCTCCTCCTCCACGGGCCCCCGGGGACGGGCAAGACGTCGCTGATCAAGGCCATCGCGCACGCGACGCGGCGCCACGTCGTCAACGTGCCCCTGAGCCGCGTCCGGACGAACCAGCGCCTCTACGACATGCTGTTCGACGGGCGCTTCGAGACGGCCTCGGAGACGTTCGAAGTCCCGCCCGACAAGTGCGTCTTCGTCATGGAGGACGTCGACGCCTGCTCGGACGTCGTCCTCGACCGCGGCGGCGACCGCAAGGACGGCAAGGCGCCGCGCGGCGACGAGCTCAGCCTCGCGGGCCTCCTGAACGCCCTCGACGGCATCGTCGAGGCGCCCGGCCGCATCGTCGTGCTCACGAGCAACCACCCGGAGAAGCTCGACCCGGCGCTCGTGCGGCCGGGCCGCGTGACGATGAAGCTCTACCTCGGCTTCGTCGACGGCGCCTCCGCCGAGGCCATGTGCCGCCACTACTTCGGCGCCGGGGGCGACGTCGCCGCCGTCGCCGCCGCCGTCGAGGCGCTCGCCGACGCGGGCAAGCGCTTCTCGCCCGCGCAGCTCGAGCACCTCTGCGCGGCCCACGAGACCGTCGACGACCTCCGCGCCGAGCTCGTCGGCCTCCACGCGCGCCTCCAGGGCGAGGCCGTCCGGGCGAGCCTCGACGCGGTCCTCGCCGACGTCCCCGAGGAGCTCCCGCTGGCGACCCCCGGAAGCGCGCCGGCGGCGGCAGGGGAATGCCGCGCCGGGGACCTCCGCTCGGTCTTCTCCGCCGCGCCCCCGGCCGCCGCGGGCCAGCCCCGCCTCCGCAAGGCGCTCAGCGAGGGCGCGCAGCCGCTCGCGCGCAGCGAGGCGAGGAACTCCGCGTCCCCGTAAGGGTCGCCCCCTTTTACTTCCGGGGGCAGCCGGCCCGGGCGAAGCCCGCGGCGATCTGGTCCGCCCGCGCGATCGCGGGGAAGAAGTGGGCCTGGCCGTCGAGGTCGTCCACGACTATCGGCGCGTCCACGCGGTCCGCCGGCGGCGTCTGCGTCTCGCGGAAGTAGACGAGGACGGGGAAGCCCTCCGAGGGGAGGAACGCGTAGTTCGTCACCGTCGCGAGCTTCCAGCTGTTGCTGCCGCCGGTGACGACGTTCTCGTCCGGCGCGCGCCCAATCCGCGCGAGCTCGAAGGCCGAGTCCGTGAACTCGAAGCGAAGCGTCGACGTCTGAAACGCGACGAACGCGCCGAACGCCGCGAGCAGCACGGCGAGGGGCGCGAACTTCACCGGCGAGCCCTTGGCGCCGAAGACGCTAGCGAGGGCGACGCTGCCGAGGGCGAGGTTAAACGACGGGTCGATGACGGCCATGGCCGGCGGCGGCGCGCCGCGGCGCGACGGCGGGCAACGGAGCGGCGCGCCGCGGCGCGACGGCGGGTTGTGGAGCCGCGCGCGCGGCGCCACGAGCGCCCGGCACGACGCGACGAGGAGCGCTATAGCTGCGGCACGCATAGCTGCGACCATCAACAGCTCTGCGCCAAAATTCACCACCGACCTACTTCGATTACAAATCTCTTCCTTGTAACGCGATCATCTCTGGGTGGCCCGTCGACGCTCGGTGGCAGCCCCGTCGGCGCCGCGGCCGCATCGCGAGGCGCAGACGCCGCCCGGACCGCCGCGGCCATGCCGGTCCACTATAGCGCCGAGTTCCTGGCGAAGATGGAGAAGCGCGAGAAGCAGATCCGGCACCAGGCCCTCGAGGTGCTGGACAAGCGGCGCGCCGTCGACGACGCGCGGAAGCTCCAGGAGAAGAAGCGCAACGCGAGAAAGACGACGGGAAAGCTCCGGGGCTGGCGCGAGCAGTACGCGATCCAGAAGGACCCCGAGCGACTGTTGAGGTGCCCCGACCGGTCGTTCCCCGTGCGCCTCTACTCGAAGATGGACAACGACGTTTGGAAATTGCCGGAGCTCCGGTCCTGGTTCCAGATGAACGCCGTGGACCCGACGCCGGACACGCCGGACGCGCACCGCCGCGGCTACATGGTCCCGCCCGCGACGGCCGCGCCGGCCGAGCGGCGGCTCCCGACGGCGCACAAGCCGGCGACGGCGCCCGTGTCCATGGGGCGCCGCATGCCCACGCCGGGCTTCAACGACTTCGAGGGCTGCCTCACGCAGCAGAAGCACAACGCGGACCTCAAGCTCAAGGAGCGGCAGTACTACCCGCCCCAGGTCGAGGGCCGCGTCTCCGGCTACCGCCAAGCGCCGTGGCTCGACCGGCCCGACGGCTAGGCCGGGCGCGGGGGTGCCGTTTGAGGGCTCCATTAATCGTCGGACTTCGTAGTCGGGGCCGAGTCCCGGGGCCAGGCCGACAGCTCTCCAGAGCGTGCCTGGCCATGGAGAGCGCATGGAGGCGTCCATGGGACTCGCCGATCGGACGCGAGTTGACAAACAGCTCGAGCAGCGCGACCGGCGTCGGCTTGGTGGCATCGACGAGCTTCCGCGCGCCGCCCGTCGTCCCGCGTCGACGAACCTCTCCCTCGTCACACCGTCCTCGAGCTCGCTCTCGCTCTCGAGGGGGCGTCGAGAGGCCCGGCCGCGACGCCGGCGGCGACTCTCACCGCCATGTCTTCGAAAGATTGGCGGGAGAAGAAGTTGGAGTATGAGAATCGCATGGCCCGAGCGAAGGGCAAAAAACTCGAAACCCTCAAGACCTGCACGATATGCGGCGCAGACAAGGCCAAGGCGTGCCAAGGGTGCGGCACGACGGCCTACTGTTCGACGGCCTGCCAACGCATCGACTGGCGCGACCGGGGCCACCGGAAGGTCTGCAAGAAGATCCAGGCCGCGGAGGCGGCGCGGACCGAGGCCCCGACGCCCCCGCCGTCGCCGCCGCGCGAGGTGTTCTACGGCCCCGCGCCGCGGTCGCAGGCCGACGAGATCCGCGCGCGCATCGCCGCGGAACACGAGGCGGCTCGCGCGCGGCGCGAGGCGAATCCGGAGCCGGCGCCGCAGTCTGAGCGGTACGGCTCGCGGTGCCCGATCTGCTTGGAAGTCTGGACAGTCCATACAAAAATTTACCATTATCATTGCTGCTTCCGGAAGATTTGCGCGTCGTGCTGGTTTAAGACAGATTCGAAGTTTTGTGCTCTTTGCCACACACCGGCGGCTCAAAGTGTCCCGGAGATACTGGCTCGGATCCGTCGCCACGTGGAGAACGACGTGCCAGAGGCGGTCGCTTATTAGGGGATGCTTTACCTGGACGGTGACGTTCAACTTGGAATAGCGAAAAACGTGAAGAAGGCGATGAAAATCTTAAAGCGTGGTGTGGAGCTCGGAGACGCGAAAGCAGCCGTGAATCTCGGGTATATGTATCATACCGGAGAGGACGGCGTCAATGTGAAGCCGAACAAGGCGAAGCAGCTGTATCGCATGGCTGCCGATCGCGGCAACGCAGCGGCGCAGCACAATCTTGCTGAACTTGCAGAGGAGGCCAATGATCCGGAGGAGGCCCGACGATTGTATGCGCTCGCTGCTGCGCAAGGGGACAACGACGCCGAGAATGCGCTCGCGCGTCTAGATGGCCTAGATTGATAACTCGGATGAGTACATGGTGGGGCCGGGTCAGCCTGAGGTTGGGCCGGTAGTTAGTGCTAACTATCCGCTACCGAGGGTTGCTTCAGTCAGTCCCAACTACTTAGTACGGCTTAGCCACTATCATCGAGCCGCGGCGCGGGGCGCTTCGGCCGCGCGTGGCCGTCGCGCGGCGCGCCGAGGTCGTCCGGGACGTGGGCCGCGAGGGCGGCGACGAGGTCGGCGGCCGCGGGGTCGGCGCGGAGCTGGGCCCAGAGCGAATTGGGTCCGTCGCCGCGTGGCCGCAGCGCGAAGACCGCGCCGACGTTGGGTGTGTAGCGGTGCTCGGGGCACCTGGTCTTTGGTCTTGCTTTGGTCTTGTGCGCGCGCTCAGGCCGCCGCCGCCTCGAGCGCGGCGATGTCCGCGATGGCGTAGTTCGCGTCGAAGACGCCGCCGCCCTGGAGGTGCATGCGCGGCGCGGCCTGCACCCAGCCTTCGAAGGCGTGCATCTCGATCGACTTGAGCCGCGAGCCGGCCGTGCGGTAGCAGTGGAGGGCGTAGGTCGCCGCGGACTTGGCGCTGGCGAAGCCGAGAACGCGCGCGGCCCACTTGCTCTTCGCGGGCGCGTCGATGTCGACGACGACGACGTGCGGGGGCGCGTCCTTGCCCGCGGTCACGGCCCCGCACCGCGCGGCCTTGGCCAGGAAGTCGTCGGATTCGCCGGCGAGACTCGGAGGGAAGAGCATGCCGTCGTGCTCCGACGCCTCGCGCACGGCGCACTGCTTCTCGTCCGCGAGGCCGCCGCACTTCTCGCGAGCGGCCTTGACCGAGACGCACCGGTGCACGACACCGACGGCGTCGGGCGTCTTCGCGAAGAGCACGGCGATCATGTTTCACGACGTACGGCGAGCGCCTACGAGACCGCGAGTTCGTCGTCGAGCGCGCGCGCGATCCGAAGTTTCCCCGCACGAAATCGCCGGGGAACATTCACAGACCAAGTACACGGCACGCGCGCGCGCAGATGTGTCGATTACCCCCCGGGGCGACGGCGCACGTCCGATCGCGACGCACGAACTCTCACGACCGGGAACACGATTTCTCGCGCAGAATCAGCGTCGAAATCGGTGCGAACGATGGCGTAGCAGGTTGATGGCGCCCGAGGGAATAGGACGCGGGAGTTTACAAGGTTTTAGAGTGTTCAATGCGCGCGCCTCTCGAGCCGCTTCTGCCAAAACTGCTTGACCGGGCGGCGGAAGGTTCGCCTGAAGGTCGAAGGTGAAGACGGCGTGCACTGGCTCCACGCGTGTTTTTACGACCTAGTTACCCTCCACGTCTATGTGGACGGGGGCGAACGGACATGCACTTCGCGCCATCCCCTTCGCCGCGCTTTTCTTGGGGTGAACCGACGGCTCGCGGACCACGCCGTCGCCGTTCGAGACGCGGAGCGCGAGGTGGGCGAAGACGGATGAGCCCTTGAGGAAGACGGCGATTCCCATGCAGATGAATCCAGGCCCATTGCGCATGTCCAGCGAGCTCGTCGACGACGTCGTGCAGTCGGCGCGGAATGCGATGAGCGGCGATAGAGCTGTGCTGAAAGCGATGAGACCCAGGATTATTCCGAGGGCTTTGAAGAGACTTCGATCATTCTCGGGCGACATGCGCTTCATCGCGAAACGAGCAGTGCCCAGCGTCGTGATCATGGAGACGATGACGGTAGACCGAATGCCCTCGACGCGGCGGCGGCAATTGCGACATTTCCGGACGTCGTCTTGGGGCTTCTCCCGCGCGTCGTCGTCGGGCGGAAGCGCGTACTCGGAGCATTCGACGTGCGCCCAATGACTCCTCGTAGATGATCTTGTCGTCGTGGTACGCGACGGCCGACGTGAGCCCGAAATACGCCGTGCCGGGCCCGCGTCGCGCGCGACCGACGGCCCACGCGCTCGTGCGGATGACGCCGCCGACGGTACTCATCGCCAGGCACGCGAAGACGTTCAGGCAAAGGGCGAGACCAGCGGCGAAGAGCACGCCGGTCATGAGCCGATTTCGCGAGATGCCAAGAGGTTTATCAGACCCAATGCTGCCGAAAGCGACGCAACATGGATTTGCGTCGAGGCATGCAGCGATCGTTGGACAACGTTCGGCGTCCAGGCACGCCGGCGGCTTCGATACCTTGGCCATGGCTTTGAAGGCGTCTTGGCGCGAGGTTTGTGCAAGATTTTGTGGTGGTTTTTGTGCTCGACCTCGCGATCACGGCGATTCACGCACCGGTGGCCTACCGGTCGGCACGACCTGAGTTTCACATATGTGCGTTAGCGGATAAAGGGGCGGCCGGCCCGCGCGCTTCCGGGCCGGGGAAACGGGCCGCCTCAGGGCCACATGCCCGCGTAGTCCGGCAGGGCGTCGAAGGGCCAGAGCTCGCCGTCGTCGACGAGGTCGTCCGCGGGTGGCGGCGGCGGCGGCGACCGCGGCTCGCGGAGCTCGTCGATGGCCGAGCGGATGGCGAAGTTGGGCACGAGGTGCTTCGAGTCGAGCGCGAGGCCCGTCTTCGGCGACGTCGACTTGTCCTCGAGGAACCAGGCCTCGATGGCCGCCTTCTCGTACGTGTGGCCGTCGGCGCAGACGACGGGCTCGCGCATGAGCTCGCGCGTGATGGGGCAGGTGTAGGCGTCGGGCACCTTGTGGTCGGGCTTGCCGACGAAGACGGAGAGGCGCGACCCGCTCGCGCGGAGCGCGGCCGTGAGCGACGCGGCCTTGGAGACGACACCGCCGAAGATCGCGGTCGGCACGCCGCGCGGCGCGATGGGCCGCGGGGGCCGCGCCGGCGGCGGCGGCGCCGCGGGCGCCGCGGCCGGGGCCTTGGCCGCGCGGCGCCGCTTCGCGCCCGCCGCGGGCGCGCGCGGCGCCTCGGACTCGGACTTCCAGACGCGGATGAGGCCGAGGCTGTCGTCGACGACGCGGACGCGCTTCGAGCCGGCCTCGACGCGCTCGACGAGCGTGTACATGCGGCCCCGGTAACCGTGGGACACGCCGCCGCCGTGCTCGCCGCCCTTGGCGCGCCGCGCGGACCGCGCCATCGGCCGCGACGCGACGCCGACGTCGCCCCCGTCGGTCGGGAACCAGAGCTCCGAGTTGTGCACGGACTGGAACGTGACGGCGAACCCCGACACCTCGGCGCCGCAGGTGCGCCCGCGCTTGCCGCTGCGGGCCATGAGGTACGCGTGCGCGCCGAGGTCGCGGACGGGGCTCGCCGTCGGCCGGACCTCGACCTTGTCGAGCACGCGGCGGTCGCGCTGGTGCACGAGCTCCAAAATCTTGAAGGCCTCCTCGAGGCTGAAGCGGCCCTCGCCGTGCTCGAAGCGCTGGAACGCCGCGATGGCGCCGGAGACGTCCGCGGGCAGCTCGGCGTCGTCCGGCAGCGCGTCGTCCGCGGAGACCGTCTTGCTCGAGCTCGACAGGTCGCTCACCGTCTTGCTCGAGCTCGACAGGTCGCTCACCTCGCCGCTCGCCTTGCTGCTGATGGTGCCGTCGTCGTCGGACACGTCCAGCAGCCAGTCCGTGTTGAGGAAGAGGTCGTCGTCGAGGAGCGCCGCGTCGTCGCTGTAGGGGCTCACGAAGCGGAGTTCGCCCGTGCGCTTGTGGCTCCAGACCGTCAGGTCGCTGGCGGCGTCGGCTTTTTCGGTCCAGGACATGACGCGCGGGCGCGAGTGGGCGGATGCGGAGTCTCCAGCTTCAGTGGCAGCCATGTCGAAGGCGCAACGATGCTCCAATCGCGAGAGGCGAAGCTGCCAGTTTGTCAACCAATGAGCGCGTTCAGAAGAATGCACAGCGATGATCATGATATACGCACTTCAACGATCGAAACTTTCTTCTTCCCGGGCGGCGCCTCGCACGTGCGCACACGCCGTGCCGGCCTCGCAGGATGTAGCGCCTGCGTGACGGAGAGCTGCCGGCCGGGAGGGCGTCGCGGAGCCCAGCCTGGTCTGTGTGTTGACGCCGTGACGGGCTGCTTTCAGGTACACGTCGAGATGGCAGGCGTGGCGCTCTGGGTGTGGTTCACTGAGAGCTTCAAACCGCAGTCGAGCAGCCGACGCGCGCATTAGCGCATAGACCGCGCCTCGTGCAAGATTTGGCCGCGGCGCTACCGGTACCGCGTCGCAGTTTTTTCTCGCACACCCCACGCAAAAGCCGCGCGTGCTGAGTTTCAACCCACGCGAAATCCGCGCGCGCTCGTCTTCATCGCCGCGCGCTCGCAAGGTCGCAAGGACTCATGGCGCCGAGAAAGAAGAAGGCGGCACCCAAGGCCAAAGGCGGCAAGAAGCAGAAGGCGGCGGCGTCGGCGTCGGCGGAGGCCGCGGACGAGACCAAATCGTCGATCCCAGCGTCGATGGCGCTGCGCGCCGCGACGGCGCTCGAGAACGTCCTGCACCATTCGCCGAACGCGGCGGCGTCTCGCGCGGCGATCGAGCGCTACGTGCGGCGCGTCGCCGCGCCGGCGCTCGGGCGCTTCGTCTTGTACAAGTACTGCGAACGTGGGTCGGCGACGCATTATAGGGGAGGCAATCCGATCGCGCCCCCGACCGCCGGTTGGCACGATCGTCACGTCGACATCGCGGCGGTCATCTTCATGATGAAGTGCGGCGAGTATTCCGGCTGCGACATTCCGGACGACGTCTACGGCGAATCGGACATTGCACCACACAGACTTCCGTTCGAGGAACGCGACCACCGGCGCGAGGAGGAGGCGGCGATCGCGGCCTTTGCGGCGATGGCGGCGGACGACGACAAGTTTCTCGCGCACTCCCTCCGCGACCTCGATCACGCGTACGGCTTCCCCGGCTTCGCCGGCTACGAGCTCGGCGTCGACTGGACCGAACCGGACTTCGACATTTCGCGCTTCGACGCGGCCAACGAGTTTCTCGCGGACCTCCCCCGCCGCGTCGCCGCGCGGCTCGCGGAGCTGCCCGACGCGACGACGCTCGACTTCGCGGCCTACCTGCGCGCGGCGCACGGCTGCGCGAGCGTCGACGCCATCGAGCCCTACTTCGATCGCATCCAGCACGGTAACGAGCACCGCGTCCCGTCGACCTCGACGACGCTCGTGGCCACGGGCATCCCCGAGAGCTACACACACGCCGTGACGATCTCGACCATCGCATTCCTGCCCGCCTTCGAGGGCGGCCGCCCCGTCCCGATCACGTCCTCGGTCAAGCGCGTCGAGCGAGCGGAACCCCGGACTCTTCCCCCGTCGAAGTGGGACAGTGGCTTCGACCCCGCGGCCGACTACCGCGACCCGCTCGCGGCGACGCTCTGCGCGATGGGCCGCGGCGGGAGCGCTATCACGGAGCGCGTCGACCACGTGCCCTTCTACGTCCTGCGGGACTGGGACGGCGTCCGCCTCCTCGACTCGGACAACGAGGAGTAAGACACAACAACACAACGTAAAACCACACGCTACTCCCAGGTCCGGGGCCCGCGGCGGCAGCAGGCCGTCGCGATGTTCTCGAGCTGGCGCCGCACGTCCGGGTCGTCGCGCGCGCGGCCGTGCGCCAACAAGATGTCGTGGACCTTCTTGAAGTGGGCCTCGGCCTCGCCGAACTTCTCCTCGTAGTAGGAGAGCAGCCCGAGCATCTCCCGGGGCACGATGGTCGCCTCGGCGCCGTCGCCCTCGTGCGTGACGACGATGGCGAGCGCGCGGTCGAACTGCGCGCGGCACAGACCGTAGTCCGTGTCGAGCATGAGCGCGTAGCCGTAGGTCAGCAGGGGCTGGACGAGGGCCGGCGACTCGATGGGCTTGGGCACGATGCCGAGGAACTCCGCCGCCGCCGTCGACGGCGGGCCGTCCTCGGGCGCGAGCGCGGGGTCGTGCAGCTTCTCGTGGAGCTCCACCAGATGCTTGAACATGGGCAGCGCCGCGTTCACGTCGCCCTTGTGGAAGAGGTGCAACGCTAGATTCCGCAGCGGGATCATGACGGCGTGGTACTCCTCGCGCGGCTCGCCCCCCTTGAACATGCGGCCGCGCCGCGCCTCGTGCGAGATGCGGAGCGCGTACGCGAACGCCGCGGCCGCGTCGTCGTCCTCGCCGAGCGCGTGGAAGGCCTCGCCCAGGTTGTTGTAGGCCGCCGCCGTCGACATGTGGCGCAGCCCGTAGTTCTTCGCCGCGATCTGGGCGATGCGCTCCAGCGAGCTCCGCATGCCCAGCGAGTCCTTGCGCGACTTGTACGCCGCGGCGACGGATTGTAAAGTGGGCAGGAGGCCCACGTAGTCCTTGCCGAAGGCCTTTTCTTTGAAGTCGAGCTTCCGCAGCGCGACCAACAATTCGCGGTCGTTATCCTCCGTGCGCTCGTAGCCCTCCGCCGACGACACGAGGAGCTCGGGGTCGATGTCCGCGAGCGACTTCTCCTTGTAGACGTTCTTCGACCCCTCCTTGGCCGCGGCGCGCGCGGCGGAGATGACCTGGAGGATGCCCGGGTCCTTGCGCCGCTCCGCGAACCGCTTCTTGTGGGCGATGCGCTCCATCTCGTTCATGAACTGCTCCAAAAAGGCCACGAGCTCCGGCGGCCGGCCGCGCTCCGTCGCGAGGTCGATGGCGGTGAGGCCGTAAAAGTCCTCGTGCTCGATGGGCGCGCCGTGCTCCAGCAGGCACCCGCAGATCTCCTTCGACGCGAAGTTCGCCGCGAGATGCAACGGCGTCTGGCCCTTGGGGTCCACCGCCCTCGTGTCCGCGCCGTAGGCGCAAAGAACTTTCACGCACTCGTAGTTGCCCTCGCGGCTCGCGAAGAAGAGGGGCGTCCAGGACGTGTCGCGGTCGCGCTCCATCGTCACCTTGGCGCCCCGCCGAGCTAACAGCTCCTCGAGGCGCTCCGCGTTGCCCGTCTTCGCGAAGTGCGCGGCCTTCCAGAGCTCGTCCTCCACCGTCTTCGGGTTCGCGCGGAGCACGGCCTTCGTGTTCGTGTCCAGCTCCGACAGGAGCTGCTTCCGCACGACGGAGAACGCCCGCTCGTGCGCGAGCTCCTCGTTGTCGAAGGCCGTTTTTAAGTGGTCCAGCCGCTTCGCCGCCTGGTCCTCGAAGTCCTTGCCGGAGACCGTGTGCCAGTACGCGTCCTCCTCGCGCTGCACGGCCTCCTCCTTCGCCTTGGATTCGTCGAAGCGCTGGCACTGGCGCAGGTGGGCGACGGACTCGCGCATGAGCTTGAACCGCTTCGGCGCCGTCTCGCGCGCGGCGAGCTTCGCCTTCCGTCGTCGCCGCTCGATCTTCTTCTCGAGGGCCGCGTAGGCGTGGAAGTGGGCGCAGGCGCGGTAGGCGCAGCCCGCCTCGAAGGCGTCCGTCGCCTCGTCGAGCTTCGCCTTGCGGAAGCGCCGCTCCTTGTCGATGTTCCACCGGAGCGGCGCCAGGGCGACGTTCGGCGCCTCGTCCTCGGTCTGCATGGACCGCTTGAGCCGCTCGCGGTCGCTCAGGCCGACCATGAGGCGCTTGTTGTTCTGGATCTCCCGCTCGGCGTTCGCGCGGTCCCGGGCCTTGAGCTGCTCGATGAAGGCCTTGCGGCCCGCCTCGGCCTCGAGCTCCTCGGGGGACAGGGCCTCCGTGACGACCGTGCCATCGGCCTCGTCGGCGGCCTCGAAGCCGATCATCGTCTCTTTCAAGCGCTCGTCGATCGTCGCCTCTTTCGACCGCTCGGGTTTACGAGACGGGCAGCGCTAGCACGATCATCCTGCCCAACCGATCGTGCCGTGCAGCATCCAAAAACGACGCGACCGCTCGCGCGATTCATAATGGTGGGCAGCTAGCGCGGGTTTACCGATAGCGCCTCGCATTCCGGCGCCATGGTCACGACGGCGCCGGCGGCCGCCGCGCCGGTCAACGTGGCGCAGTCCGAGCTCATCATCATCCACGTCTGCGACGAGGCGCGCCAGATCAACCGCGACTTCGCCTGCGACCGCAGCGTGCTCCTCGAGGAGATGAAGTACTTCCAGTCCTACCTCGGCGGCGACAGCGGGTCCTTCGACGACATCGACATCAGCGTCCACTGCGACGTGCACATCTTCGAGTGGTGGGTCCCGTTGTTTCTCGCCGCGCGGCGGACCGACGCGCGTTTCCCTCAGGCTCGTGCAGTGGATCCACTCGCCGCTGCGGCCGCCGCCGCTGGACAGCAGCAGCGTCGTGTCCATCCTCATCTCGTCGGAGTTCCTGGAGATGGAGCGCCTCGTGGAGCACTGCCTCCGGTTCATGGCGAAGCACATCGACGAGATCCTGCGCGCCGCCGGCGCCTCCGGTCGCTGCCGGAAAACCGTCCCACGCCCGCGCGCCGCAGGCACATGCCCATCGACCTCGCCTGCGTGTCCGAGAAGCTCGTGCTGCGCCTCGCGGAGCTCTGCACGGCGGAGGTGCTCGCGTCGCTCAGCGACAAGAAGGACAAGCTGCTGCCCAAGCTCTACAAGCGGCGGCTCGAGATCGACTTCCGGCACCGGCACGCCGAGGCGCGCAAGGACAGGGACGCCAAGGAGCCGGACAAGAAGCCGGGCGCGAAGAGGGACGGCGACGAGAAGAAGGACGGCGACCTCCGCGCGCCGGCATCGGGCGGTCCGTCGGAGAAGCCCGTGAGCCGCGAGATCCTGCGGTGCCGCCACTGCGCCAAGCTCTACCCGGCCTGGGCCCAGAAGTGGCTCCCCTGCGCGGACGCGCCGTTCCTCGTCGACGGCCGCGGCGCGCTCGCGAGCCGCCACGCGCCCGTGCTCGAGCGCTGGAGCCTCACGGAGCACGTCGGCGCGCTCCACGCGTTGGGCATGACCTGGGAGGAGGTCTACTGGCTCATGTGGGGCGTCACGCACGTCTTCCGCTGCTCCGCGTGCGCGAAATGGTTCGGCGCCGACGACCTGGGCCGGTGCCTCTACCACGAGGAGCGGCCCCACTTCGCCGACGACTTCCGCATGCACGGCGCCTACGGCTGCTGCGGCGCGCCCTGCCTGCGCTTCTCCGCCTACGCGGACGTCGCGGGCTGCCGGTGCCGCGAGCACCGCATCGACCCGCGGCGCGGCTCCGCGAAGCCGTCGACGCTCCGGTTGCTCCAGCGCCAGGGCAAGCTCATCGCCCACGCGGCGAAGCGCGCGGGCCTGCGGAGCCCGGGCCCGACGGGCGAGCCGGCGTCGTCGGCGAACTCGGGCGCGGAGAACGCGTCGGAGTGCGCGTCGTCGAGCGACGCCGTGTCGAACGGCTCCGGCGGCAAGAAGGGCGACGAGAGCTCCAAGAAGGACGCCGCGAAGGGGGACGAGGCCAACGCCGAGTCCCAGGCCTCCGGCGACGAGGGCGGCGTCCAGGCCGGGTCCCAGGCCGACGCGGGCAGCCGCGCCGGGTCCGCGGAGAAGAACGACTCCGACAAGGAGGCCAAGCCCAGCGACAAGCCCAAAAAGTCCAATGCGAAGAGCGCCGACGCCAAGAAGCCCGGCGCGCGGCCGCCCACGGACAAGAAGAAGAAGGCCCAGGACGACGACGAGCCCGCGGACCGCGGCCGCCGCGCGTCCGCGCAGTCCAAGCGGGCCGGCAAGGCCGTCAAGGCCAAGGACGGCAAGGCGACGCTCACGTCCCAGGACCTCAAGCAGCTGAACCTCCCGGCGTCGGCCGCGCCGCCGGCGAGCGCGAAGGAGGGCTCCGAGAAGGGCTCCGACGCCGGCGACGCGCCCGCGGCCAAGCCCGCGGCCCAGGCGCGGCCCATGCGGTCGCCGCACCACAGCGTCTTCGCCGCGACGCCCGACTCCGCCGCCGCCGGCGACGACGAGGTCCACCTGCGGGACCACAAGCACCCGCTCGCGAAGCCCCTGCCCGAGTCGCAGCGCGAGGCGCGCGAGCGCCGCGAGTCCGCGGCGCTGAGCCCGCGCCGCAAGCGCGCCTGGGACATGGAGTGCATCTGGCGCGAGAAGGACGTCGCGCGCATGCGCCACCTCTCCGAGTACCTCGCCGCCATGCGGACGCCCTACGCCGCGGACCTCGCGAAATCCGGCGACGCCGGCGGCGGCGACGACCGCAAGGGCAAGCGCGCGGCCGAGGCCGAGAAGCGCCGCTGGCGCTAGGGCGCGCGCGGGAGCGCGCGGGACGCGTAGAGCGGGTTCTTAGTTTAGCTTACCGTCCCGCGGAGCCTCCGCGGCCGAGGACTGGTGCCGCGGTGAACGTCCCAAGTCGCACTTCAAGTCGCAATTCAAGTCGCCCGGGCAAGCCGGGCGCCGCGCCGCTCCGGTGCCACGAGCACCGACGCCGTTCGCGCCGCGCTCGCCGCGCCGCGTTGCCGTCGCACCCGCGCTTCCGCGCACGCGCTCGAAGGCGCAGAAGGCAAAACCATCGTTTCTCCGCGCACTCGCAAGGCGGCGGCGGCGTCGCCGTCCAACAGCATGGAGGAGGGCGCGCCCGGGTCGACGGCCGTGCGCATCGCGTCCATCTCCGCGGCCCAGAACAAGCGCGGGAAGAACTGCTTCGAGGGCGGCATGAAGCAGGGGTCCTTCACGTGGTACAAGGACATGGGCGGCAACAGCAACTGGATGTACCTCGCGGTGTCGAACGCGACGAAGGAGCACCTGAGCCTCGCGCTCTGGCTGCTCTACGAGGCGGCGACGGAGCCCCTCGTGGACCCGCTCTGCAGCTCCGGCGAGATCCAGGTCGGCTTCTTCAACCAGAGCAAGAACATGAACCGCCAGGTGCCGCTCTTCGAGCTCGCCGAGGAGAGCAAGCCGATGCTCGAGATGGACCCCGGCGACGCGGCCACCCTGAAAGTGCGCATCAACGACCTGAGCAGCCACCACCAGAACCAGCGCTTCATCCTCGTCGCCGGGCCGGCGGACGCGCCCATCCGCGGCTCGCGGTCCGTGCCCATCGAGATCATGTCGAAGCCGCGCGTCGAGGACAAGGACGGCGACGGGTCCAAGCGCGCGCTCGACGGCGACGCGTCGTCGGACCCGGCGGCGAAGCGGTCCCGCGGCGACGGCGACGGCGGCCACTCGCTGCCCCTCTTCGCGCAGCTCGCGGCCGTGACGGACCCGAGCCCGTCGCCCGAGCGCCAGGCGGAGCTCGCCGTCGCCCTACTCGGCGGGCTCCACCCCAAGGTGCGCGCCGTCGTCGCCGAGAAGCTCGCCCAGTCCCTCGACAAGCAGGCGAAGATGACCCTCTTCGACCAGCTCTCCCACGACCTCAAACACGGCGTTTACGGCGCGGAGGAGCGGCCCAAGCCCAAGGGGCGGCTCAAGTCGCTCGCCAAGGCCATCGTCGAGTTCAAGCGCAACGAGAAGGGCGGGCGCGCGAAGCGCGGCGCCGCCGACGGCCTCGGCGCCGACGGCGACGGCCTCCTCTCCGAGCAGCAGCTCACCGACTTCTTCGTCGACGAGGACAGCGGCATCAACATCTTCGACGCGCTCTCCCCGAAGAACGGCGACGCGGCCAAGAAGTGAAGCGAATGCGCGACCCCCCAGCTCGGGCTCATAAGCGCGTTACCCCCCGCAGGGCCGCGTGGGCCGCCGGATGGACCGGCCCTTGTAGAGGTACGTTTCGCCGCCGTCGAGGTCGCAGATCGTCACGTTGTTGTGCAGGAGCCACACGAGAAAGTCCTTCTCCGTCACGAAGCGCCCGACCTCCTTGTCGCCGCCCTCGGCCATGGCGCCGAAGTCGAAGCGCGCGGTCGACGCGTCGACGTAGGTCATCCCCGACGCGACGGCCGCGTCCAGATTCGCGGCCATCGCGGCCGGGTCCCGCGCGTCGCCCGGCAACACCACGGGAAAGTACAGTACGCCGGCCTTGCTGTAGGACTGCCACGTGCGCTTGCTGAAGGCGTTGGCGTCGAGGGACCGCAGCGTGTCCCGGAGCGCCGGCGCGGAAATCGGCAGGAACCGGTCGCGCGCGTGCGCGCCGCCGCCCGTGAAGACGTTTCCGATGGCGGAGAAGGTGTGGCAGGCGACGGCCATGGCCTTTCGAGACCCGTAGAAGACGTGGTCCGTCGCCGCGTGCACGACGTCGCGCCGCGCGGCCGCGTCCGCGACCGCGTCGGCGCGCGCGGGCCACGGCCGCGGCGTCGCGTCCGAGCGGAGCTTCACGACGACGTCGTACGTGGCGCCGCGTTTCGCTTCCTGGGCCTCCATGAGCGCCCAGCACTTCTCGAGGCGGTACCACTGGATCCACGGCTTCGTGTTCGTGCCCGGGGGAAAGACCGCGCAGTCGCCCGACGGCCGCGCGGCCGCGACGGCGCCGACGCCCGCGAGGGCGCTCCCGAAGTAGGACGTGGCGAGATTCGCCAGCGTCTTCAGGCCGTCGTCGCTGGGGCAGGCGTCGGACGTGACGAAGACGTCGGCCCCGAGCGGGACGACGACGTCGTCGCGCATGGCCGTGAAGTGCAGCGTCGCCATGCGCTCGTCGTAGCCCGGGCGCTTGTCCGCGCCGACGAGCAGCACGGCCACGCCGTCGCCATTCGCGAGCGCGAGTGAGAGCGCCGCGACGAGGGCCGCGAGCGCTGCGCGCATCGTGCTGCCCCGATGGTTCAATGAGTGTTCAATGACTAAGTTGTTGAAGATTCCCTTGCGGCAAATTCTGCGCGATGGGAAGACCGCTCGCGCTTGCGCGCCGTTTGCGGCTGCGCCAACATGCGGCCTTCTCCTCCTCGACGAAATCGGACTACGTCGTCGTCGGCGCCGGGTCCGCCGGCTGCGTCGTCGCGAGCCGCCTGGCGGAAGGCGGCGCGTCGGTGACGCTGCTCGAGGCCGGCGACGCGTCGACGCTGCGCGGGCCCTTGTCCATCCTGACGCGCATGCCGACGGCGCTGAGCATGCCCATGCACTGGGGCCGCTGGAACTGGGCCTACGAGACCGCGCCGTCGCCCGCGCTCGACGGGAAACGCGTGTCCTGCCCGCGCGGCCGGGGCCTCGGCGGGTCGTCGTCCATCAACGGCATGGTCTACGTG